TATTGTTTTTTAATGACCCAACACTCAGTCCCATATAATAATGTAGGCCTTACAGTTGTTTTATACAACTTTGCATTTAACTTTAAAGACATGTTGCAATCACACAACACACCCATGCACTTCGCCACCTTGCCTATCTTGCTTAAATCCTATGATTTATATCCCTTTCTATCTCGCATTTATATCCCTTTCTATCTCGCATCGGTTTGAATAATTGATGCCATATATTGAAAATGACTACTCTTTAAGCCTAAAACCCTTAAAAAAATTCACACACAATGCCAAATTTTGCTTTTGCTTTGGTTTTTTTCATTGTTGATGAATTTTTTAGAAAAGTTTTTGTAGGTTGCTTGAGGTTTTGTTTGTATGTGATTTAGAATGTTTGTGTATTTCTATCTTGGGTATTGACTAATTTTGGACTAGGGTTTAGTGCTTGTGGATATATCATGAATTTAGATTTGTATTTTCTCTTATAATCACAAAGTCTTGTTGAAGAAATCCCTAAAGAACTTAGGGTGTGTTTGGTGCATAAGATTATGATAGGATAGGATAAGATGATATTATGATTAGCATTAGATTAAATAATGTTATACCGTCTTGTGTTTGATGTATGCAAGGATTATGATAGGATAATTTATTTATTGGTTAAAATTATCTTTCTTCAAAGTTTATACAATTTAAATTATTGATGTAATTTTTAAGGGTAAAATAGGATATGTAAGTTCAATCCCATTGATTAAAAATAATCCACTCCATTCTGGGAGGATAGCAGTGACATATTTAGATGTTCTAGGATCTCTAGAAAATGATTTTATTCAGAGAAAGAGATGTTTATGATGTAGCATATTTTTAGGTTTATATCACATACATATTAGGTGCCTTGTATCAAATTTGAGGTTTAGATGATCTACAAACTCTAGCAGTCCAATAGAAAAGAAATAATTAAGGTTTGGTTGGTAGCTAAAGTAGACATTTTACTATATATTAAACTCATCCTTTGACACTCACAATAAACTGTACTGGCAATAGTGCTATCCTGGTTTTTTTTTTTTTTCATTTTTTGCTGGGCTATTTTGGCTTTTACTATTCCTCAATCTGAGTCTTTGTCATTGCTTTTTATCTTTTGTTTTTTTATATACATCAAGCTTCAATTATTTTCTTTGAGATTTGTTATTCCCAATGTCTTGCTTTTCCTCTAAACCTCTCCTGGATCACTTTCTTTTTCCTAGAAGTAGTCAAGCAGCAAAAGGTCTTTCAATATGTATAAAGTCTATTATGATCTGATTAGAAAACATATGAAAGTGTGCCTACTATCCAAAATATATAATGAGGGTAATATAGCTAGCAGAAAAATCAGCTATAATACTGATAATTGTTATCTAACATAGTCTTTTTTCTAACTCACAAAATGTACCAAGTTAGATATTGCACAGTAATGTGCTAATCATCAAGTTACTATCTTCTTTACTAAAACAGATTCCATAATATGGTTAATGTATACTTTTTTTGGATTTCTCTTTCAAATTTGGCTTGCATTTGCTTTCAAAGCTTGTTTGGTAATCGAGAATATTGAAGGCAAAGGAACAAAAAGACTGAGGAGAAAAATGTGTTCTTGTTTTGTCTAACACATAGTGGATGAATTAATGACATATCTGCCCCATTATGGACTGGCATTTACGTTTTGGGTATATTAAGATGTATTGGATATCTATCTTGCTGTATCAAAGATATATACAGCAATGATACCAAGGAGATTTTGAAGTATTGATGCTTCATAACTAATAAGGAACCTTATGATCCTACTAGGTTTGGTATTGAATTCAAGGGATAGTGAGGTTATGCTTACAAATGTTGCGATAATTTGGATGAGGTCAAGTTATGATCCCCATTCCCAGAAGGTTTGCAATTTGAGCTCAAATGTAGGAATGAAATTATCCTTGCTTAATTGGATGGTTTGGATGATTTAAAGATGATATGTAACCTTTAACTTAGATTCATTATCGAGATGAATTATTGGATGTGCTATCATAGCAAATGGAAGAAAAGTATGATTATATCTCCATTTCCAAGAGATAAATTGTTCTTTACAAGTAATTTTCTGCAAAACTCTTATACTAGATTCTGTTTTCTTTTTAAATTACAAATTTATTTAATTGTCAACCTGCACCTAATTATTGTTTTCATGTTGACAGATTAAAACACTCCTTGGTGACTATGATGCTATCCATGTTCGTCGAGGTGATAAAATAAAAACAAGGAAGGATAGGTATGGGTTTGAAAGGAGCCTACATCCTCATTTGGATAGGGACACCCGTGCAGAATTTATCCTTCTCAGAATTCAGAAGTGGGTACCAGCTGGACGAACTCTTTATATCGCTTCAAATGAGAGGACACCAGGATTTTTTTCGCCACTTTCTGTCAGGTAAAATCATTCTTAAAAGTCATATGACATGTTCAAGAGTTAGAACCCCATATGATATACTCCATCTTTAATGTAGATACACTTGCCCCTTTCATTTTTCCATTTCAGCTATGAAGATCTCATCTATATTTGATTGTGCCGAATTTGGCCTTTAGGAATTCCTAGTTTGTACCAAATGATGGCTTTTCCTGCATGTACATATGGTTTCTTTTCTTTTTTCCTTTTCTTTCATTTTTATTTTAGCATTGTATGAACCAAAATATTGCTTACGAGGGGGATGATAGACCTACCTTGTACTTTGGCAAAAATTTATTCTGATATTGGTGCTTAGAGCCTCTTATTTATTTATCATGGGTTACAATTGCAGCGGTGTGATTTCCCATTTTTGCATAAGAGCCTATTGTTTATTTATAGCTATTAATACCCTGAGGTTATACATTATCATAGGGGGTTACATTGTTTCACTCAATAAAATTACAAAAATAGCCATAAGTGTTTTAAATATAAGGGTATTTTTGTAGTGATTGGGAGAAATTAACAGCTTAATCCCTTATGATAATGGATTTGAAGTCTCTGGGTTTCAAGTGGTAAAAAATAAGCTATAGGTGCTATTTGAGGAAATATGACAGCGTAGAGGGTGTTCTACTTATTTAATTGTGGGAATGAGGGGGTGTAGGGGAGGGAAGGGGTGGTTCGATCATCTGCAAACTGTCTGTTTTAGCACTCCTTCAGTTCCTGTAAACAACAAAATGAGTTGCGCCAGCAGCACTGGCAAATGAAATGAGTGCTGGTGGCAGGGTGTTAAAGAAATTTGGGATGGTTAACCAACCACTCCTCACTTGAGAATTGATGATAGTGGTGGAAAAGAGCAGTTTAAACTCTGTGTTAGCTGAGCAGCATAAGATGCTATTTTGGCTTGCATATGTCTAATCTCATAAAAGTATTAATTGAAATCATGGTATTTATGAGAAACTAGAATTTGGCTGGCCTATAAAAAGTAGACGAGAGAAGCTAGACTGTGCTCACCAAAAGGGGAGATATATGGTATTAATTAAATTTTGAAGATGCTGTGCTATGCATCAACTATATTGTACTGTGCAAGCAATAAGAAAAAACGTAAGGAAAATTTTTCTTTTTTCATATATTAAGCGAGCTTACCTTGATTTTTGTTGGTTGCTTATGTTTTCAGGTACAAATTGGCTTATTCATCGAATTATAGTCGTGTCTTGGATCCATTAATTGAGAACAATTACCAATTATTCATGATTGAGAGGCTTATCTTGATGGGAGCCAAAACACTCGTTAAAACATTCAAGCAAGATGATTCAGATCTCAGCCTCACCGATGACCCAAAGAAGAACACTAGGATGTGGCAAATTCCTGTTTATATTTTGGAAGGAGAAGGAAGCTAACTTATCTCTTATAGTTCAAATTCATTCTGTAATCCTGTAATATTTTTGGGAATATGATCATCCCCTCAGGCAACCGCAACAATTTGATCACTTTGTTATTTCATATCAGTATCTTGCAGCTAAATTGCAGAGAATCAAGACTCCTGGCCTGAGAGTAGTTGGCAAATGTAAATTATGTTGTCTAATATGATACATCCTTGTATGTGTTTTTAAACATGTATTTTACACCCCATTTTTTTCCACCTTTGCACTTGAAGCACCTCTTTTTCTTGGAGTAAATATAATTGAAATTAAAATTTTTACATCTTTTTTTTTTTTTTGATGTTTGATATTTATTTTTAAAACTATCGTGGTCACGAAAATAACATCATTAGGGTGATATGGTAACTGGTAATCTTATTATGTGGCAGTATTACAAATCATAAGTAATTACATGTAGTAATATTACAAATCATCATTAATTTTAATTTACCAGTTTCAGTATTGTTTTAAAAAAATTATTGAGCACAAAATATCCATTTTCATTTAAGAATTTAGTGAAAATAAATTAAAAATTAATAGTAAATTACAAGTCATTTACTAATTTAAAATTACATCATACGTTCCTAATTCACTCTTTCAAAAACATCATTTTCGAGTCATTGATATTTAATCATTGACTAAGCCGAAACCTTTTATTTTTTGGCATTCAAAATTGTTGAAGATGTTTAATTCCACTGTAAAAGGACATATAATTGAAACATATTTTCCGTGTAAATAAGCACGCATCTTTTGCCAAATCCCTCTTTAAAAAAAAAAAAAAAGACTAAAATAGTAAAAAAATTCCTTAAATTTTATAACTTTATCCAGTAAGTTTTTATATTTGTATTATATTCAAATAAATCTATAATTTATAACTTGCATTCAAATAAACTTTAAATTTTAATTTGTATCCAAATAAATTTTTAAAATTTTAATTTATACCTAAATAAACACATACTATTAATATACTTATATATAAAAACTTACTTAAATACAACAAAAATATAAAAATTTATTTAAAAAATAAAATAATTCAGAAGGCCTGTTTAAATATATTAACCAAACAAAGAAGTTTCGCAGACGAAACAAAAGGTTATACGCCGTAAAGATATTACTAAAGCTTTTATTATACTCTAATGAGGAGATTGGCAGGAACTCTGAGGAACTTAAATTGTCCATTCAAATCAAAATAAATTTACAAACTTGTCAGTGATTTTGGACCATAAGTCCCCACATGAAAAACTTGCATCTTTATGCACCTGTTTGAGTATCCTTTGAAAGCATGCACGGGGTAAACAATTATACAAACTCCTAGTTCTCAGTTGCATTGGTGTATGTATGATTACTTAACCTGAAACTAATAGCTACTAAAAGAAATAACTGGGGGCAAAATGGGAGAAAATAGTAGTCCTTCATATCAACAATGCCACAGAAGTCCAGGAGCCAAGCAAATCGGTTGTCACCAAAATGTAGATAACTGTCTGATCCTGCATTTATATCGATGGAAATTATATCTGGGAATCACTTTTTGCTCGCAATTTTTGTGTTGAATTAGTGGGACTGTGCTTCAAGAAGAATGTTTGTGGCAGTACTGATGTCATTTCTAGCATGCACAAGTGCCTGCCTGGCTGAGTTCCGATCAAAGCCCATTGACACTAGGGTAGCAATAGAGTTCTCTGGTGGTTCTACAACTGAAGAAGCAGCAGTCGATGGATAGATTCTCTGAAACCAAAAGAATTAATGAGTTGCTTTACAGACAATAAATTATTTGGAAGAACTGAAATTGCATAAACGAATTGATGTAATGCACAGGAGAATTTCATATGCATCAGTTTCAAGAGGACCATTCTTCACATCAGTAGTCAATCTGGCTAATTATTTAGCAGCATGTAAGTTCCAAAAAAATTCAGTTAAATACAGGAAATGGCCAACAGGGTAAATGACTCACTGACACTGACTCTCCAAGTTTGCTGATAGTGGCTCTCATCAAACAACATTAGAGAAATTTTGTCAAAATGTACAGAAACCAATTGATCCACTAAATGTACATTGAAATTACTTTTCTGCACCGTAAGCAGGACTTATAGTTGGTCAAATACCATCTCACAGAATGTTATCAAATACTTTGTATGAAATACTTATGAATAATATTTAAGCCCCATAATCCAATAGCAAGAGACATTTCGGGATTCGAGTTTTACACCAATGCAACGTTTATATGTGATATAAGACAAGACCAACACAGTGAAGGTTGTAACAAGGAAAAAAAATAAAGAAAGGAAAAAGCCATCGACAACATCAGGAAGCTATCCGGAAAACAGTCTTATCCTAAGCAAAGGGATTCAATTGGAGTGATTTGATGATACAACCACCATTTTTCAACTACAATTTTTTGGGAAAGATTTGCCAACAGTTGAAGTAACGGGAAAGAGTGAAAAATCAACTAATCTTTTCCAAGATTTGATAACTAAGGGGGCAAGAATGTCATGGATTTAGATTAATTAGTATTTATCTTTTATAATTTATTTGAAGTTATTACTATCAAGAAGCCAATAGCTATTTAAAATTATTGTTTTGTAATCAATAATCTAGGAAATACAAACATTTAGTTGAAATAGAAAACTAAGTGAAGTTTGGTTCATAAATTGTAGCGTTGTGGGCTCGGAAAACTCATAATAAAAGAACCAAAATTTAACAGCTTTAAAGAGCTCTATTTCTCTCTCTAGAATATCTGATATGTAAGAGCAACACAATGTGATGGAATTATATGCTGACAAGGATGACAAAATGGAGCTGAAGATGAACCCATATGATGACAAGGTTTATAACATGGATATGAGGACAAAGTGAAGCAAGAAGAAGCTGAATACCAAGGACAGAGGAAGCATTCAATGCGTATGGAGCTGAGGAGGGCAGTATCTGGAAGCAAGGATAAGGACAAGGAAGGAGGCAGAACCGTTGGGCATATTGGCAAAACTGTTAAGGAGGTTGAGCTGGCAAATTCTGTTAGTATTGTAATCATGAGCTGCCAGGTTCTAGAATTTCATTGGCTCTTGTATACAACACACAGTAAGCATTTAGCAATTGTAAGCTTATAAAAAGGGAAGAATGTAATGAATGAAGGCAGGAATGAAAATATCAAAGTTTTTCTCTATTCTCTGTTTCCTCTGGTCTTGTTTTCTTCTTCTATTCTTCTGGTCTTACTTCTTCTTCTATCTTCTTCTTCCTTCTTTTCTCTAGTTTATCAAGTCACAATCATTCTATGACACACAAATGAACAAACTTCATATTTATACATGACTGACTATTATCTTCCATTTATTGATTGGTACCTCATCTAGAGAGAGGTGTTGCGAAAGTGTGTCATCTCCATCCATATCTTCATACAGGCATGCTAGGCTGATTTGTATAAAACTGAGTTTTCAATTTCAAATTCTGTCATAAGTTCTTTGTCCTGGATCAAAAGAGCTACTCCTTGTTACCATTTCCACAATCTCTTTGTCAAATGGAAGTTAAGAAAATGGCTGAGGTAATGCGTTCAGCTGTTCAGCCTTATCTTGCTTGAATTTAAAGACACAATAAAGAGGAAAATATTCCGTAGAGCATCCATATCCATACAAGGCCATGCCTTTGGGAATTTCGCAAAAGGGGACAATTTGCAAAAAGATTGTTCCAAAGCTAACAAAAGAGTTGCTAAGATAATCCAAGAACTCAAAATAGTTAAAAGGATTTAATGATCACCTTGAGTCCGTCTTCTCTATTCATGAGCAAATTCCTTTATCTTCCTTGGTGATTAAGCAACCTGTTGGGATTGTGATGACTGTTCTGCTGATCTCACAGAAGATGAATCCTTTTACCATCCAGGAAGTCAAACATCACACAACCAATCCCCCTGGAAAGGGATCAGTTATTTCCAAAAAAGTATTATAAATTTCTCACTGAACGTTTTTATGCTAGAGAAGCCCAAACTATGATGAACCCCAAAGCTCTTCCCCCAACATTTTGCGAACAAATAAACATTATTTCCACGCTGCTGATGAAAAGATCTTCCCACATATCCTCTCAGTGAATCCATAAAAATTTTTTCTTCCAAATGCTCCAATGTCTCCAATATTTTGGGTTCTTCAGTTGCCAAAAGAGACAATGTTAACAGATTTGACATCTACACCAAGCTCAAACATCTCGGAATTCTCCTATAACGATACAAAAAGTTCTTCCAAATGCAGGCTCTATTGGCTAATCTTTACTCAATATTAAGTCAGAATTTTGAAGCGATTCAACAAGTGTTAGTTCTCATGCAGACTTTCTGCTTAAATGCCCAAATCTCCTCTGGAAGAAGTTAGAATTTCCTATTTCCTCCTTTTAAGATAGCTTACATAAGATAATTCTGGGCCACAAATCCACAAAATCCTCACTAATTATAGTGATGTAGCAAATAGCTGTCATACCCATTTCACCATTATTAGAATTCCAAAGGGATGTTAGAGACAGTTTGATAACTTTATGGGCATTTTTGCTCTGAATACAGACTTTTACCAACAGAAGTACATTCCTCAATATAGTTGTTTCAGAGACATTAAGGTCATATTTGATACACAAGATTTTGATAGGATAGGATAAAATAATATTATGAATATGATTAGATTAAATAATAATATTATGAATATGATATTATCTTGTGTTTGATATGTGCAAAGATTAAGATAGGATAATTTATTTATAGGTCAAAATCATCCTTCCTCAAAGTCTATCCAATTTAAATTATTGATGTAATTTTTAAGGATATAATAGGACACATAAGTTTAATTCCATGGATTAAAAATAATCCTCTCCACTTTGGGAGGATTGAATCGTCTTGTACCAAGAGGATGATAATCCTCATTGTAATCGTATCCCTTTCAATTAGATACCAACCAATCATAATATAGAATGATTATCATATTATCCTATCCTTCATCCGATGCACCAAACATGACCTAAGGTTCGTTGTGTTGAGTTATACAATATAAGCAGTGGATATTATTGTTTCCCAGTTTCACATAATGTCATATTCTCAACCTTCAGAAGAATACATGAACTTCATAGATGAACCAAGAATATATTATCTAATATTAATGAACACTACCCCAATACAACCATTGAGCAGAAATACTTTTACAAAATGAGGCTTATCAGGCAATATTATAACATTAAAATCTAAAACATCCTAACTATGCCATGATATGAAGCAGTTGAACACTAAACATTCGCATCCGCCAAAAAATGCAAGTTTCATCAACCAAATGCATTAGAAGAAAACATTTGAGTTGCATACAAAACTTCCGCCTACTTGTTTGATCCAAGTCCAACTCGGGATTCCAATCCCATGCATCACATATACATAGTTGACAAATATGCATGCTTATGCCAGCCCATGTAAATTAGGAATAAATTTGATTCAACGCAATATACGTTGTAAACAACTGGAAAAATAAAAGCATTCAGAAAATACTTGCCTCCACTTGGCGAGTTGTGTAGGAAGGTACATTTCCTGCAAGACTCCTTGCTGGTGCTGTAGGTGGATTCCCCATAGCAGGCCAAGAAAGCCGTGAAAAGAATGATGTAATAAATTTAGGGAACTGTAATAAAATGATGAATACCAAAATTGAAATTAATCATCGAATTGCAAAATATGAACTGAAAATGATGCAACAGAATGCATTTAACAACTAAATAAATACTAGAAAAAAGTGAAAAATGGTACTATTCTAGCTCAATTCCATAACACTGCTTTTACTAGGGGACAATAAGTTCAGAATTCTTCAAGACCATTCACTTCTCATCACAATAATTTCAATTTGTTCACTTTCAACGTTAGATTTTTTTGAATTGCAAAACATTTAATGCTTCTGTACAAAATTGTTAATACTTTTCCAATTTTATTCTAATTTACTTACCATACTGATTTAACAATTACTTCCTACCATTCAAGTAAACCGTGTCAGCAAAAAAACCGACAACAACAAAAAAACTGCATTGTCAGTTCACCCAATATTTAACCATTTAGGAGGATTTGATTGTATTCCTTACGATTAAAACAAAGTTCAAATTAAGTAAATTGAAATTGATGTGCTTATAAAAAAAGATCATATCCTTCAATTGGGACTGGTACTCAAGTTAAATGTTGCTTTAGTCCCTTACAAGAATTGGTGATCTATGGAAAATCACTAACACCATGAAAATGAAGCCCTTAATGTGCTGTTTAGTCATTTTTGACATTACATGTCAAGTAAAATGGCCAGCATAAAATTTCTACCATCTCCCTTTGCTTTCTTTCTTTTACTCTCTCTCATCCATTCCTCTCTATACGCCTCTCCCTTTCCTCCTAGGCCCACCATACCCAGAAAACATCACAGCATAAACTCCCAAATAATTCCAACTCAATTATCAAATCAAAGAGAACTAGGGCAACAGAGGCAAAAAAGAAAAAAAAAAAAAAACCATAATAGAAACCAATTTTAGGTATTACCTAAAAAGAATACAGCAACACTGTTATGTAGCAGTGCTTTCTAGCTTTTAGGAATGTCTAGTGCAATAAGAATATAACAGAGACAAAAACGAAAATACAATCATAAATGCAAATGTATTTTGCCAAAACTAATAAAGCTGGATATTTTTTTTGATAAATCAAAGTCGTATTTAAAGAAGAAATTTAAGAATTACAAGCCGTATGACAAATGAAATCCAGAAATAAATCCTCATAAATTCCACAATAAAAAATTACACTATCTTTGTTTAAATTATAGGGAGAGAGAGAAATAAACAATGATTCAAAAACCTGATTTGATCTAAGAAGAGGAAGAATTGGCTGCCAAAAGCCTGTGGATCGTTTCGGCAAATAATCACAGTAATTGCATAATTTTTTGGCTTATTTAACAACTTGCAATTGAATTAGAGAGAGAAATGTATAGATAAAGAGAGAAAAGGAGAACTGGTAGATATAAAGCTGTAATTTTCAGTGAGAGATTAAAGCAGGCGTGAGAAGAGAGAGAGAAAAAGGAGGGGGGAGGCAGGACAAAGAGAGAGGGAAAAGATAAGAGACAGAGAATGGAGGATGAAGAGAGTAGTGGCTTCTGGCTGCCAGATTTGGAGCTAGATGGCCAGATCCGTGACCCAGCTGCCCACTTGGCATCTTGATTAACAGTCCAACACTGGATACCAGCCAAAGAGAGGAGAATCCAAGAAGAGAAACAAATAGAATAAAGTAGAATAAAAAGAATAAAAAAAAAAAAAACTGGTAGGCCATAGAAAAATCTAACAAACTATGTGATGCCACATGGACACAAACATACATCATTAGTGGGCTTTTAATTACTAAGCCACTTTTTTGTGCCACTGCCACATAATCATTAATATGCCAATTACTTTACCATGTCATCAAGTTAAGGGAACATAATTAACAGAGTTGAGGGATCAAATGCAGAATTACACCAAAAAAATTTTGTTAAAGTTCCAGGTTCCACCTACTTTTCTACTCTTTTATTTTTATTTCTCAAAAACGAAGGACCCAAATTTTGATAGCATAAATAATTATACCATCCCAGGTAAAATGCTGTGCAAAGCAAGCACACATGCATGCAAATACCTTCACATATGCATTAACTTCACCACTCCTTGAAACATTTAAAGTTAATGAGCATAAAAGATATGATGATCTAACGAAATCTTATGCCAATGGATTTTATTTATTATAACAGATCCCTTGCATGGACCATTCATCAACGGATTTATACTGAAAATATGCCACCATTGCTGCAGCCAAAATCATATTCAATCCATGGCTCAGATGGAAGTCTATATGTACTCCCCATGTCTCCAACAAGAAAAGAAAGTTAAAGAAGCAAAAATTTCTAAGTCAATGTCAGATTGGAAACAACCTTAGCCCTGCGGATGCGAAAGACATTTAGATGATATAAGGAACCGGCAAGGATGCCGCATATCCCTGGCAAGAGAGATCTTTTCCAAGATGATAGTAGAAGCTGAAATAAAGAAACGGAAGTTTATTACTGAACTTAAAGGTAGAAGATAAACAATAAGCAGCAAAACTACTTACTCACTCTTTACCTGAAGACCAGCTAGATAGATGAAAGACTTATCGGAGAAACGAACCCCAAATATACGAAACCATGTTGAAACCGGGATGCCAAAATAAAATGGTATAAATGAGGCAAATATGAGGCCATAAGGTCCAGAAGTAAGCAGGTTAGCTGTGGGATCTGTAAACATTGAATATCGAGTAAATTTTCCATCAACACTGCAAATTCAGCATAGAGAACTGTAATAGTTAACCAAGCATACAAACAACAATTAAAAACCTTACATACTGAAGTCTAAAATCCATCTTGACTAAAAATTTTAAGAACAGAAAGGAAAATCCTTTTGTTGGAAGCAATATATAAGAGCTAGAAGCTTAGCATTGTTCAACAGGTATGTCAAATGTTAAAAAAAGTGGATTACTAAGTCTATTACATCCAGTAGCCGATAAGGCAATGACAAAGAATTAGGCGATTTGATTCCCAAACCACCAAACTTCTCTAGGTTGCTTAACAACCCCCATCCTATCAAAATGATGCTCAGAAGAACCAATTGTGGAAGCTTTCCTTGGAATTTCCCAAACTGCATATATAGACTTTGCTACCTTTTTTTAAGGTTAGTTCATCTACTAGCATATATCTACTTGTCCACTTGGAAAAGAATTTTGAAACTTGGCCAGAAAAATTATTACCAATAGAAAAAAAAGTTAGAGAAACTCAGACAGAACATAAACAACCAGAGAGATTGATGTAAGATGGATTTACATTAGAAGAGCATGTATACCTTTAAGGATAGCTAGAGCCAAAACCTCAAAGAGGAATGAAACCATTACTGAGAATATGATAAAAACCTGCATAAATTACGGCAGACAAAAATTTACATGGAGGAAGGGGAAAAAATGCTTCAGTTCCTGCATGAGTATTAGCTGCCAGTTTATAAAAATATTTAAGGATCTAAATCATTTTGTAAGTTAAACAGAGAATGTCTTCAATTGATGATATCCACTCTCATATATGAAAGTTCTGAGCATTACAATCAAGATCTATCATTGACAGTTCATTCTATTAATTTAATACAAAGTTAAATGATCTTATTGAATAACTCCTTCCTATAGGTCGCCACAAGGTTAAGTGGCCGACTAAGTTTTACAACAATGGATAATTCATGTTGTTTTTGGCGACCTAAATTTGTATTTCAATTTCGAATTTCTGAATTTAAAAATCCTTTGTATATAAATAATCAAGGGCCAACAACCGGGTGGTCCGTTAGTAGAGTGCTAGACTTTAAGTTCCAATGACCAAGGTTCAAATCCTAGAAACCTTAATTATTAAAAAATAAATAAAAATAATCAAGGATTTGAAATCCAACACTTTCAACAAATTCAAATTCGCTGGTAGGGTAACTTTAGATTTCCATATGAATTCAAATTAATACTCTTATTCTATTATACAAAGAATACATGATAACACAATCAAACTATGTCAAGAAAATCTCTTTCTCTCTACCCTGTTGCTTCCATCTTTTTTTCTTTGATTTACCATACCTTTATGGAACTGAGACTCCCCACCAGTCCAGTTTCTCATTCTAAAACACCCAAAGTTCCAGAGAGCATTAGAGAGTTGATTTAGTTTAGAAGAAAGGAATTAAGGAGGAGAGATGAGATCAAAGAAGCTGATGATTAACAAAAATGTTAAGAGATCAAAGATAGTGATATGAATTGGTTTAAGTAGTAGCCCAAGAATGTATTTCAAATCCTAAAATTTGGGCTTCTAAAATCCTTGGCAGATTTGGTTAAAATCCAAATAATTGTTGTTTAATTTCTTATGAAAGGGTAAAATAGTAATTTTCAAATTATTCCTATGAACCAAACATATTCATAACATTCCCATCCTACTCCATTACCATGAACCAAAATAAAAAAAAAATACCTATTCCATTCCATTCCCACGCTATTCTATTTTCATGGAATAGCTATTACATTCCTGCCATATTCCATTTCGTGAATCAAACATGCCACCAAAGAAGAGTTAAGTTTGCTTACCTTATTTTAGTTCATCAGAAACATACGTTCTATATTAATAGTTTAACTCTCTGCACACTGGGTGCAACATTAAAGACAAACATACAAGACATCACAACAGAATGATTAGTATAAACGGCATGATTACTCACAGAGTACTTGTTGGAACCAATTTGTCGCTCAAAGACCCTGAAGTAGTATAGTAGATAAAGTCCAAACATCAGTTCCGGTGTAGACGAAAAGGCAAAAACCGATGCGATTAACTTCCATATGCTAAGTTTTCTGAAAATATCCTGTCATAAAGATGGAACAATCTGTAAGTTTTATACACAATAACGTTGAAAAGCACATGGCATATTTGACACCCCAAAAGGACAATAAACAAATGCAACACCATTCAACTTGATTTTGGTGTCGGAGATTAGCCATTTACAACCTAGCATTAAAAACAGTCATTTTGTTATCAATTAATTATTGGTATATCTTTTGCAGCTTCACAGCAGAGTTCAGGCCCAATCCTCTTAACCCCCCTTTTTCCCATTTCTGAGACAATTACCATTGCTTTACTCTATGACTTTACTCTCTCACAACAAATCATAACTCCCCCCTAACCCCCTTTTTCTGAGAAAATTATCATTGCTTTACCGTCTGACTTCCATAAATCATAAGCTCCCCCTCACCCAACCACTTTTTCCCATTTCTGAGAAAATTCATATTGCTTTACCATCTGACTTTACTCTCTCACAACAAATCATCAAATTACTTTCCATGAGACAATCTAAGCTTTGGACATGGGAAGCATACTTCCTGAATTAGTTTTATTCAACATATATACAGATACCCTTGAACTCTGAAGAGGGACATAAAAGGAATACAACATTCTGCTTTATTTTTTAAAAATAAAATATGACAATGTCTGTACACTCGACAAATAACAAATTGAACAGCAATCACAATAACTTTTAAAATGTCTTAAAAAAAAAAGTAGCATCAACGACTTCGACATTAATTATTATTCCTAAAGAGGGAGACAAGGATGATTACTGCAGTACAATAATATTATCATGAATAGATTGAGACATTCAAAGAAGATAAAACACGCTCTATCAATTGCTTCATAATAGATTAAGAAGTTGGGCTATGATAACATTTAGAAGGAAGTTGAATATAAGCCTGTTTTCTCCTTGACCTCACTACTTCAAAATCAATAAGCTGTTTCTATATCATTATTTCTACTTCAATCCATCAATTATGTAATTTGTATGCATTCCCAATGAGCTTCTGAGGATATGGTCTTAAATAGAATATGAAGCAATATGCCCACATAGCAAGTCCTATCTAGTCAGGGAAGATGTAGTTTCTGGTTGAAGTTGCCTGTCTTATAAGATTATTGTCAATCTATTGATTAGAAGTCTGGATTGACAATGTGTCAGTATGGTATTCCTCTTCCAGTTAAATAGAATGTCAGCACTTGATACTGATCTCTACTCGATATCTCAATTCTCAACCTCAATCAAATCAATGACATAAGAATACTTAATTTTGAGTCAACTTATTAGGCTAAAGCATGAAGAGGAACAACTAATAAATAATTTAACATCATTCACACACTTGTTCTCTTATAAGGTGAATTTCATGTATCTTAGTATTTGCATAGCAACAAAATCTCAACAGCCTAACATCTTCACGGTACAATTAGTAGAAACTAATTAAAAATCTATGAAAGATCTAATGATGTACACCAACTAGTTAACTTAGAAATCATTTTCATGTTAAACACCCCAAAAGCAACGCCCTCAAGCCAGTGATGATAAAAACAAAAGGAAAGAAAAAAGGATTGTGCTGAGATTGATCAGTACAAAAACTGCAATGCCCTAGAACAAATCTTTAGTACTGAAAAAAAATGTTAAAGAATACAGAACTGTTTCCAACCAACAATAAAATATATTCAGTAAGAGATCTATTATTAGCACAATGGAGATGATGGCTTAAAGTTAACTCTTTTAGATCAGTAGTTCATGACAAATAGAGAAATTTTAAAATAATAATAATAAAAACGCTTGCTCCACTTGATGCATAGATATGAAAAGCAATCATGCATTAAATAAAAAGAACCACTATAAAACCTGAAAAAAAAAAACAAAAAACAAAACAAAAGAACAATTAAACCTTTAGCCTTCCCGACATAAAAACACAAGATATATATGGAATTCAATTGTTAAACAAGCAATGGTGAATCCTTGTAAATTTAAGGAAATCAAAAAACAACTGGTTATAAGAAAATTGAAATAATAGATCAGAGATGCAGCACAGGAAAACCCTAGAATATCAATTCACATAACAAACACAAAAATAAGAGCACAAATCCTAGAAAATGAAGTCAAGTTAAAAGTGAAGTTAAAAACGGAAAAGTGATAGCATCTGGGGATCAGAAATCATAAATAAAATGCTTGAATTAAGAAAAGAGGGTAAACATAGAAAAGAATATTTGAGCCAGATTCAAAGCGACACCTGATAGGACAAACCAAGCTTGAAAGAATGGCCTTGGATCCCAAACATTACAGTGAATAGCACACATGTAATTATAAAGCTTTTTGTAACTGGAGCATTATCTGCAACAGCAATCCAAAAACATATAACAGTAATAAATCAAAATTTCAGAGAAAATATAAACCAAATAAAAAACAAAGAAATTGTACGCACTGAAACCGGAGGGACCGCCGTTCATCTTTCAAAGTTGGTAGGAATGAGGAAAGAACGACCTCTGTCTTTCAAATTTCACCTTCTTATATATAAATTTCTATAATCTTCCAAAGAAGTTTTTTTTTTTCTTTTCTGTCGGTGTTTTTGGATTTTGGTTTGGGACGGAATGCCAGAAACTACTAACTAGAGTCCTCTCTTTCTCTCTCTCTAAAAACAAACCCTTTCTAGCTTTGCCTTTTTTCTTCTCGTTTTTTTTTTGACGACTCTCTTTTTCTCTCTTTCTTTCCTTTTTTTTTTTAATTATTCTTTTAATTAATCCTACATGATTTCTATTAAGTATATCTTTTTTTTCTCAATAAGTTGGTATTGAATTTATTTTGCTGCAGACATCAGTTTGCTGACTAAATTTTGCTGCATTTCATTTTTTTTTGTTTAATTTAATTTAATTATTTCCACTAAGACTGTTAATTAAGTTTCATTTCATTCTTTTTGCAAAAAAAAAAAAAAGTTCATTTCATTCTTTCTTCTTCTATTTTCTTTTTATTTTTATAAAATAAAAAAGTACACATTAAAAATTAAAAAAATCAACGAAACCAAATGAAATGTAAGAAATTCCAATTAAAGTTTTTCAAGATTAATATTTTATAACTTATTTTTGTAAAAATTATTTATTTATTAAACTAACAAAATCACGTTCTTTGTCTGTGAGAGATGAAAGCATACATTTTTATATTTAAATCAATTTAAAAACAGTTAAGTCCAAGCCTTCAAGGTACCTCTCAAATGTACTAAAACTTTGATTACAAATTAATATATAAATAAAAATGAAAGGAAAATTAAGAAAATAAATAAATTTAATCATTGGACTTTATTAAATTATGGGTTTATCTACAGTAAGATTGTAATATATCTATTTTATTTTAAAGTCATGAGATATCATAATATATTATGATAAATTATAAAAATAATATAACTTAAAAAAAAGAATAAATTATCAGGTAAACATTAAAAAACGTATACATAATTTTATTTAATTTTTTAATTTTATAATATCAATTTAATTTACAAAATTAATTTAATTAATTATGTTTAATAATATATTTTTACATTTTTTATCATTATATTTAAAATTATTAAAAAAATTTTCGAGGATAAAATATTTCAAACTCATTTTACATCTAATGGTATGAATTTTATGATTATTTTTATCTTTTTACGTTAATAATTTTTTATTTAGAATTTTTTAATTTAAAAATATCGATTCTTTTACATTATCAAGTTAATTATTTACTTTAATTTTTTGTTATGCTTGTTCTTATTTTCCATTTCGTTCAAAATTATCATAACTATTTCTTAATGTATTATGGTATCAAATTATATCAATTTTATGAATATTTTTATTTTTTATGTTAACACTTATTGTTTTGTTTAGAATTACTTTTTATTTATGATAATAAGTTTTTACGTTATCAATTTAATTATTTACATTATAATAATATATTTTTACACTTGTTCTTATTTTTTATTACATTTAAAATTATTACAACTTTTTTTAAAGTGTTACAATACTTCTAATACACTTTATGCCAAATAATACAAATTTTATGGTTATTCTCACATTTTTACGCAAATACTTATCTTTTGATTGAATTATTTTCTATTTATAATAATAATTCTTTTATATTGTCAACTTAATTATTTATGTTAAAATAATATTTTTTTCTGTTTGTTCTTATATTTCATTACATTTAGAATTATCACAACTTTTCTTTAGGATTTTACAATTGTTCTAACCTATTTTACATCAAATGATATTAATTTTATAACTATTCTTATCTTTTTACGCTATGATACTTTTAATACATTTTATATTAAATTATATCAATTTTACGATCATTTTCACTTTTTTACGTTAACACTTATTTTTAGGTTTAAAATTATTTTTTATTTACAATAATAATTTTTCATGTTATCAATTTGATCATTTACGTTATAATAAAATTTATTATGCTTGTTCTTACTTTTTATTATATTTAGAATTATCACAATTTTTTTAAGTATTACAACATTTCAAACATATTTAACGTTAAATTATACCAATTTTATTATTATTTTCACCTTTTATTTTAACACTTAATTTTTTATTTAGAATTATTTTTATTTATAATACTAATTTTTTTATGTTACAAATTTATTACATTTCAATAATATCCTTTTACATTTGTTATTATTTTTCATTATATTTAAATTTATTATAATTTTTTGTTAAAGTATAATGATACTTCTAACCATTTTATATAAAATAATATTAATTTTATGATTATTCTCACCTTTTTACTTTAACAATTATTTTTTATTAGAATTATTTTTATTTATAATACTAATTTTTTTACGTTACAAATTTATTACATTTCAATAATATCTTTTTACATTTGTTGTTACTTTTCATTACGTTTAAAATTGTTATAATATTTTTGTTAAGGTGTAACGATACTTCTAACAATTTTACTTAAAATAATACCAATTTCACTATTATTCTCACTATTTTATGTTAATTCTTATTTTTTGTTTAAATTATTTTTTATTTGAAATAATATTTTCTTACATTGCCTACTTAATTATTTACGTTATAGTAATATCTTTTTATGCTTGTTGTTATCTTTCATTATGCTTAAAATTATCATAATTTTTTTCTTAGTAGTGATACGATACTTTTAATCATTTTATGCCAAATGATATCAATTTTATGATTATTCTCACCTTTTTATATTAACAATTATTTTTTGGTTTAAAATTATTGCTTATTTATAATGATAATTATTTTATGTTGCCAAAAATATTATTTTTGTTATAATAATATTTTTTTTTACTTATTCCTACTTTTTATTACATTTAAAATTATCATAATTTTTTGTTAAGGTGTTACGACACTTACAATCCAATTTATGCCAATTAACACCAATTTTACAACTATTTTTATCCTTTTATGTTACAATATTGTAACATATTTTACTCTAAATAATTCCAATTTTTCAATTTTTCTCATCTTTTTACATTAACAAGTTATTTTTTATTTAGAATTATTTTTATTTGTAATAATAATTTTTTTATGTTATCAACTTATATTTATATTACAATAAAATCTTTTACATTTGTTCTTACCTTTTATTATGTTTAGAATTATCACAAGTTTTTCTTAAGATATTATGACACTTATAATATATTTTACGTCAAATGATACTTATTTTACGATTATTCTCACATTTTTACGTTAAAACTTTTTTTATATGAATTATTTTTTATTTATAATACTAACTTTTTTATGTTATCGATTTATTGCATTCCAAAAATATCTTTTTATGTTTATTGTTACTTTTTATTACGTTAAAATTATTACAATTTTTTTCTTAAAGTATAACGATATTTCTAACTATTTTACGTTAAATAATATCAATTTTACGATTATTCTCACCATTTTACATTAACTTTTAACTTTTTATTTAATTTTTTTGTTTGTAATAATAGTTAATTTATATTGCTAACTTAATTATTTTTATCATAATAATATATATATTTTTACGTTTGTTATTACCTTTTATTGTATATAGAAGTATTACAACTTTTTTCATAAAGGTGTTACCGCACTTCTTACCATTTTTGCCAAATAATACCAATTTTATGATTACTCTCATCTTTTTTATACAAACACTTATTTTTTGGTTTTAAAATTATTAATTATTTGTAATAATAATTCTTTCACATTGCCAAAAATATTATTTATGTTGCAATAATTTTTTCATAATTGTTCATACTTTTTATTACGTTTATATTTATCACAACTCTTAGTTAGAGTATTATGATAATTCTAATCCAATTTATGCTAAATGATACCAATTTTACAATTATTCTTCTATTTTTACATTACGACACTTCTAACACATTTTACGCCAAATGATTCTAATTTTACAATTACTCACTTTTTTACTTTAATAATTTTTTTAATTTAGAATTATTTTTTATTTATAATAACAAATTTTTTTATGTTGTCAACTTAATTATTATGATATAATAATATCTTTTATGCTTGTTCTTATCTTTTAATACATTTAAAATTATTATAATTTTTTTTTAGGTATTATAATATCTCTAACTCATTTTATGTTAAAATATACCAATTTAATGATTATTCTTTTTTTTTCTTAACATCTTTTTTTTGTGTAGGATCATTTTTTATTTATAATACTAATTTTTTTGTTACCAATTTAATTATTTATGTTTTAATAATATTTTTTACATTTTTATTACTTTTTATTACATTTAAAATTATCACAATATTTTATTAAAGTGTAACGATATTTATAACCATTTTACGTTAAATAATACTAATTTTACAATTATTCTCACTTTTTTTCATTAACCTTTATTTTTTAAAACTTATTTTTTTTATTTGCAATAATATTTCTTTTACATTACTTAATTATTTTTGTTGCAATAATATCTTTTTATGTCTATTGTTACTTTTCATTATATTTATAGCTATCATAACTTTTTGTTAGGATGTTTTGACACTTCTAACTCATTTTACATTAAATGACTCTAATTTTACGATTATTCTCACATTTTTTTATGTTAACACTTATTTATTGGTTTAAAATTATTCTTTAGGTTTAAGATAATAATTCTTTTACATTGTTAACTTAATTATTTACATTATAATAATATCTTTTTACGCTTATTTTTACCTTCATTATGTTTAGAATTATCACAACTCTCTCTAAAGATGTAACGATACTTCTAATACATTTTATGCCATATGATACCAATTTTACGATAATTCTCATTTTTTTATGTTTCTTCTAACTTATTTATGTTACTAATATGTTTTTAAGTTTTAGCTATTTTTCTTATATGTATAAAAAATAAATAATTAAAAATTTAAATTGACAACTTAATTATTTATGTTACAATAATTTTTTTTATGATTGTTATTACATTTAATTATGTTTAAAATGATAATAGCTCTTTCTTAATATGTTACAACACATTTTATCTATTTCATACTAAATGATACTCATTTTAATTTTTTTCTCTCTTTTTTACATTACCTATTTGTTTTTCAATTTTTAACTATTTTGCTTATATATTTAAAAAATAATAATTAGTAAAAATTTTATGTGACCAATATAATTATTTATATTAAATAATATCTTTTTACGATTATTCTTACCTTTTATAATGTTTAGAATTGTTATCTCTTTCTTAGTATGTTACGATA